ATACAATCCTCTTCAGAAATTAATAATGCCATAGCAAGTGACAATGGAGTCATATACATGTATATTCAGGTGTAAATAATATTGTGTTCCATGGACCCTTACTCCCAGGTAAGTTTTGTTAGTTGAACTTCGGTTCTATTGAAATCAGTGGGACAAGTTAGTCATGACTCCCATCTCATCCATTTCAACGGAAACTAGCTTCAGCTAATATTCTGGATCCTTTAAAGACCTAAATAAAACAGAACCAGGATACCTGAAGGGCATATTTCATCATATGAGGCTGCCTATCTTCTCAGGACAGCTGAGGAGACACTTCTGCATCTTCCACTGTTGTTAGAACTGGTTGGAACAGGGGAAAGAGCATTCTTGGTTGTGGCATCTGTGCTCTGAGAGATTCGGCTAACCCAGAAAACCCCCTTCTAGTCTTCAGCCACCACCTGAAAATGATATATTTCAGCATACATGATGCCTACGTCTTCTGCTCCTGCTGGAATTGTAAAAACTGCTGCTATAGCTTATATTATATACTGGCTATTGTTTTTAAATTCATGATGTTGACTGCCTTGAGCACCTCACTAAATAACTAAATAAATAAATAAATAAATACTAATATGATGCTCAGAGGGGTTGGATCTGTCAGATGTTTGTTTGTGTTCAGTCAAATTTGTTCGTTAGAAAAGCCAGTTGAACAATGATAAATTAACACTGCATTTTTGTTGCAGCGATACAGATGGCATCTTTAAATGCTCAGCAAGTTGAGAAAATTCAGATCACACTTCTGGTTTCAGATTCTTTTCGGAGGGAAAATAAAAGATATGCATCTCATATGAAAGGATTGGCCCTTAAAATTGCCGCACCACTTTAGTTAAGACTGGTGTTTTGTTTTCATATTAGGTTGAGAAAGATCAACAGAATAAAGGCAAGAAAAGAAGACTCGTGTTCATGTTTAATTCTCTTGTGAAGGAGGAAGAGCAACAGCTCGGTGGTAGAGCATCTGTATGAAGAATGTCCCAGGTCCAATCACTAGCTTCTCTACCTAGGACTGGGGAGAGAACTCAGTCTGAAATCTTTGAGAGTGTAGACAATACAGAGCTAGATAGACTAATGGACTGGTTCCTATGTTCCTACATATGTTACAATCACAGTGATGAGGGGAGGGATGTTGTCAGTTATAGTACATAAAAAGTTACCTAGAAGCAAGCAGAAGAGTTATAAGAACTATCAATAATACATTATTGTATGTAGCTCCAGAGGATTTATATGTTGTTTAGTACCAACAAAACTCTTAGCAAGACAGAGGATATTTAAATATATTATGTAGGATTGCTGCCAAGCGGCTGAACTCTCTGCTCACCTTTCTCTGCACCTTGAGGATTTGGTGCACTGTGTTGATTTTCTCCCACACAAAAATTGCAGTTATCCTTGTTAGAAAAACATAAATCAATCCGCTTCAGCAGTACTGAAAACAGGAATCAAAAAAAGTGCATTGCCCCCTTCCACTTTTACTGTTGAAGACTGATATACACCCCACAAAATCCCACAAACATTGGTTGACAACAGCAGGAAAAATCTTTTGAAGCTTCTAGAAAGATTTTACAGTATGCAGGCAACTTAGGAGCAAGGAGGGGAAGGTATGCCTAGAACATCCTTTCCCAACCTGATTCCCCCTCCAGAAGTTTTGACTACAATTCCCATGAGCCCCAGTCATCATGTGCTAGTTGAAGATGATAGGGTTTGTAGTCCAAAACATCTGGAGGGCACCAAGTTGGGGAAGACAGATCTAGAGGAAAGACCAAGTGTACATTCAACACATCCAAAGGGATCAGCCTGAAAATTGATTTTCCCATCCCCCTAAATTAAAAGAAAATTACGGTTTAATACTATCACTTCCCCTCTATTTTTCTTTCAGTTCAAACATTTGAAAAATCTTCTGTATTATTACAGGTCAACAAAAAAACAATCCTTTTTAGTACTGAGTGCTTCTCTGGCTACCTGCCAAATGCCCAAAGCCCACATGCAATTTGCATATAAATGTTCATTAGGGTTTAATCAGGAAAATGCACACAGGTTTTCTGTTTATTAACTTCTATAAAGAACAAACAAAACTGCACCAAACACACAGAAAGACAAATTATGTTTGAAAAGAATCAGGAGGCATTTTCACTGGAGATAGACAAACCACACACTCATGTCATTTGGTGTAAGTGCAACAGACATGAAAAGGTGTTGTAAATGACAACACCATTCAAAAAGTGATTTTTCTATTAGTTTTGGGGGCATGGAAATATTATCATTCTGCCTGTCATATGCCCATATTTCTTACATCTGCACCACCATGTAATAACCTTTTGTTGCTCAGGTTGTTGTTCAGTTATCAGACAATAGTCCTTCTTTTACTGTGCAGAGAAAGGGTTGGAATGGCACAACTGAGTCTAAAGCAATATCTAAATAGGCCTTTTGGCTCATTCATTTTCCATGTCTCAAATGAGGAGGGAGGGTGCTAGCAAGAATACTATACATTTTTCAACTTTGTCTCAAAGAAATAAAATGCTACATCTCTTGAGCTGCTTCAACAAATGGTTTTAATGAAACCCTCTAGTCTTCCAACACTGCAGAAGAAGTAAGAAGAAAACATGACTTCTACATATATTCACACCTTTTGTTTATGGTGTTCATTTCATAAAATTTGTAGACCGCTTGATTGTAAAAACAACCTCCAAGCAGATTAAATGAAAAAATACGTTAAGGCAGATTAACCTAAAAGCACTCTTTCCTGTATTTCACTACGCAATCATGCCAATCAGCTGCTGAGGTCCTCTGGGTCACTCCACAACCTATGGGAGTACGATTATCGGCCGCTAGAGTTGGCATCAGAGACATCTTGGAGACACTGGAGGAGTACACCTTCAAAGGTGAAGTCAAACCATTGGAGAGTTACAGCTCCTGCTGTGGCTATAGAGATTGAGACAGGAAAACATGTTTTGTTGCAGCTGGGGCAGATGAAGGTGTCCAGTTGTGCCACTGCAGATGCACCATGGTGTTTCTTCTCTTTGTGCTCCTCCCAATAGCCATTCATCCTCTGGTTGTTGCCATGGATGCATAACCTGACTGTCTGTCTCCAGGCACCGTGGTCATCTGCAAGGGATTCCATATGTCAGGGTTGATGTTGCCAGACTTCATGTAATGTTTGCAGACATATTTGCACTGCAGAGTTGGTCTGCCAATGGGCCTGGTGCCTGAAGCCAGCTCCCTATAGAGCTAGTCATTGGGGATCCTGCCATCTTCCATTCTGTGAGCATGACTAAGCCAGTGTAGACGTTGCTGAGACAGAAGTGCAAACACATTGGGAATGTGGGCTTGGGAGAGCACATCTTTGTTTGAGACTCCTGCTATGTGATGACCAAATCCTTTCTGATGCAGTGCATGTAGAAGGTGTTGAGGCATTGCTTCTGATGATTGTAAGTTGCCCATGACTCACTTCCATAAAGCAGTGTGCTCAACACATAAGCCTGGTAGGCCTTCATCTTGCTATTGGACGTTAGCATCACATTCTCCCATACCCTTTGGAGAGGTAAGCCATTGCCAGAGCTGCCTTGCCAATATACTTGTCCAGCTCAGTGTCAATGGAGAGATTACTGGTTATGGTGAAACCCAGACAGACAAAATCATCCACCACCACAAGTGTGTGGTCACCAGTGTTGATGCGTGGAGTGCTGGTGACATCCTGACTCAGGATGTTGGTCTTTGTTAGGCTGATGGTAAGGCTAAACTGCCTGCAAAATGGTTGAATCTAGCAGTGACTAGAGGGAGGGCCTTTTATGCAGTGGCACCCATAGTAAGGAATCACCTTCTCTCTGTTCTTGCTACATTAATGATCCTTAGGCATCTCTTGAAAATACATTTGTTCTCCTGGGCCTTCGCTGGCACTCAGTCTCCATAGATTATGATTTTAATTCTAGACTGGTTTTTCAGTTTTTTTTCTTCCTCTGTATATTTTAATGTTTTGAGATGTGTTTTATTATTGTTGTACACTGTCTCAAGGACTTGACATGGGAGGCATTAAAAATGGTTTTTCAATTAATAAAAGCTTGTTGAAAGTACAAAATGAGTTTATTTCACTGCAGCAGAGACAAATACCAATATGAAAAGGAGCTTGTGAGCTTGAAAGAAGGCTTCAGTTGCCAGACAGTAAAATGGTTCAAGGCCCATTTGGCACGTGCATTGACTCAGAAAAGGGTCCTAACACACACACCAGATATTGCTGAGATTTCAAGCAGGAGCTTTTCAACATAAGAACAATAAAGTAAATCTGTTGAGTATTTTCAAAATGATCTCTGAATAAATGGCTGTTCAACCAAGTGTTTTTCTGACCAGAGTGCCAGATACAAACCCAGAGGCAATTCAAAGGGTGGCTTCATAATCGCTTGAAATTTTTGCCAAAGGGACAGATGCTATTTCTGGAAGTGCCACTTTTCAGAAGGTAGCATCTGGTTCTCTATCATTCTTGGTAAAAACACATGGGTTGAGGAAATTGTATTGGTTTCTTCTCCTTTTTAGCCATCTTAATGTTACAGTTATGGAGCTGGCCAAGAGCCATCATCAGCCTAACTTCTGCTTCTGACAGAACACCCTAATCCTAAAGTACCTGCTGAATATCCTTGGGCAGTTGGCAGAGTTTTCCAATAAACTGTCTTAAGCAATTTTATCTTCATTATAATACACACACTCTCTCTATTTATCTCTATGACCATTTCATAAACTCTTCCTCCAGTTTCGTCTCCCCTGCCACCTTGAAAATTAATATGCTGTCAGTAACCTAGGAAGTGCCCTACTGAGTTTCAATAATAGTACCTCATGGACACTTCTTGGGTGATATCCAGCTAAATAATTGCATGAATGGAACAACTTCTTCTTGTGCAACAGGATGCTCCCTTCTCTCCATGCCCAGCACAATGCCTAGATCTGCTCTGGAGGGTCAGGGGAACCCCCAAAACAGAATCAAGGGGTGCACAGAGAGAGGAGAGGAAGTCATTCCAGTCACATAATTGTTAAACTGATAAGAACAGATACTACACTTGATCTCAGCCAAAAGGCCAAGAAGCCATTATTATTTAGTTGAGTACCACCCCATATATTTGGACATCCATTTTTGTCTTACCCTGCCAATGCATTAGTTCAGTGGAGAGTGGCAATAGTGTGCCATCACTGAACTACCAGTACCTAAACTGAAAATGGAAAGGGTCAAGTGTGGTGAGTAGAGACTGCAATAATCAACAATGTTCAATGCTTCCAGTAAGGATAAAAATAGGTTACAACTTACTGCTAAAGTAAAAGAATAAAAGGACTTCACTCATTCAGAAACTACTAGATACCCTATTAGATTCTCATGAACAGCATTAAAATCAAGGAAACTCTATCTGCTCCCAAACCCAACAAAAAGATATGAGATTATAGTGACTGACCCTCGTTCAGATTAGAACTTGCTGCCACACACCTGGATCCTCACAGCCATGCCTCATATGAATGTTCTGATGAAGTCTGGAGATCTAGACCTACTAACTGTTCCAGCAAATGTCCAGCAAGGTCATTCGCTCACCTCCTTGGGAGATTCTTAATCAGCTATCTGCAATAACGTGCTAGAACATACTTGCTGAAATATGGGCCATACTGCTTTAAGGAAGTCTGTGGCACACGTATAAGACTTGCCCCCACTGGGCCTCCAGTCAAGTGGACTTCCAGATCTGTGCTATACGCTGATCCACGAGTTTTGATGCAATAAACAAAGGGAGAGTAACTAACCCTCAGGGAAAGATTTTTTGGGGACTGTTAAAAGGTTAACAAATTATCAATTGTTTATTACTGGCTAGGCAGGGAGCTCCATTTGGATGTTTTGCCTCAAGAGCAAAAACATTTTTATTTTCAGTTTTTTCGTCCAGTGCCTACTGTGTTCTGTGCATGTTTTCAAATAGCAAGGTTTGTTGGATGGAGGTTCCTGTGTCAAATATTCAGTGTCAATCCAGTCCCAGTGTGGTGTAGTGGTTAAGAGCGGTAGTCTCGTAATCTGGGGAACCGGGTTCGCGTCTCCGCTCCTCCACATGCAGCTGCTGGGTGACCTTGGGCCAGTCATGCTTCTTTGAAGTCTCTCAGCCCCAGTCACCTCACAGAGTGTTTGTTGTGGGGGAGGAAGGGAAAGGAGAATGTTAGCTGCTTTGAGACTCCTTAAAGGGAGTGAAAGGCGGGATATCAAATCCAAACTCTTCTTCTTCTTCTTCTTCTTCTTCCCTCATCCAGTCCATTACAGTGGCCAGGCATAAATTTCTGACCTGCATGGCTTCATCTGACTCAGATGACTAAGGGAAACATTGCTGGGTGTCATCAGCATACTGATTGCATTCAACTCTATATTGGCATGGATTGCATCCAACTCTATATTGGCATTGGATTGTAGTTTGTGGCTGTGTAGATCATAAAATAAGAACAAGCAGAAGGCAGGTAACATGTCCATGGGTTGTGACAGAGACAGGCTGGCCTTACACTGCTAATGGGCTTTTGGCTGGGTCATATCAATAGCCAACTCTTATTTTGGCTCATTCCCACACGGCTGAGTTGCTGTAGATCTCTTTGTTAATACTCACTAAAATTGTCACTAGTTTACCCAATACCTCTTTTTCACCAAGTTCTTCTCAAATATTAAGGGGCACCATTAAAGAATGCCATCCAGGTGTCTATGTGATGCTGAATAAGATTAATTTTATTCTAAGAAGAAGCCATGGCAGGATGTGGGTTGGGGTGTTGTGTGGATATGTCTACAGAATCAAGCAGAAATAATGCATGGAGGAAGCATGACTGAAAAGCAACGTGCTTCATGAATTCTAAACCAGACAATGTGCATGAGATCACCATCAATATTTCCCTCATGGGAATTTTGCACATCAGTACAGAGCAGCACACTGAAGTTTCCTATGCTAGAATGTCAAGAAATTTCAAAGATGTGGCACAGCATAATCCATCCAATCTATATGTTTTCCTGTTGTATGCAGTATATTCAGTGGAATAACAGGCAAACCATGCAAACTGAATACAGATTAAGTAGAGGAGATTGGCAGAAGGCTATAAGCAAATATTTCACAATGCTATTCTGCCTCCCAGCCTCAAAGAGGGTGGAAAAACTGTTGTGGGTGGGGTCAGGGGACAGGCAGAAAACAGCTGTGTGATGTGCAGATGTGTGCCATTCCAATAGACATGTAGTAAGCGGGAGGCAGTGGAAGACAGGAGTGCCTGGCGTGCTCTGGTCCATGGGGTCGCAACTAAACTACTAAACAACAACAAAAATAAATTAAAGGAACACCCACAATGATTAATTTAGTCAGAGTTTTCTCCAATCAATGTCTCTGTATTCATTTTGCATGCAAAGCATGATCTCTACCTGTGAGCTATGATGTTCTTCCTAATAGGATAGAGACCAGCTGTGATATTAGGTAGCATTCCAATTGTTTTCCAGCCCTTGTAGGGAAGGATGGTGAGGTTAGCTGTATTGTCTTCCCAATAAATTGTTCCTAGTCTCTGATCAGAAATGTCTTTCTCCAAATTTGTGAAACTTCTCAGCTCTGCCATGTGAGGGCCAGCTTTGCTCTGACCTATTCTTTACAGGTTTATTGCTTTTTTAAACACCAAACTACTAAGGTTTAGAGGCCATTTATTCTCAAGCTGCTGTTGCCCTTTCTGTATATAGAAGTGTGAAAGCTGAATTCACCAATTTTGAGGTATTTCTATTATTGAATCTTTTAGACATAGAGTGGAGGACTACTATTCAGACAAGATACTTGAGTCTGTGAGCTCTTGGGCTTACCTGCAAAGTAAATGACTTGGCTTGAGCACATCATCTCTCCATTAGCCAGTAGACTAATTTAGCCATTTTGAGGACAGATACACCAAGATTCTATTAAAGCTCTCATTTAAGTAGAATATTACAGGGATAATGCAAGCGCAGAAACCATAAAAGGCAGAGAGTTATTTCACAATATGTAAAGATGTATGGAAGGAAAAACTCATGCCACAGCCATTCCACAGCTGTGTAATGCACTCAACAAATCCTCAGGAGTAGATCCAGAGATTCTCAGTGTTAGAATCATTGTAAGTATCACTGAGTTAACAGCTTTTCAAGCTTTCCCATCCATATCCATTGGTACTCAGCATCCACCCCATTCATAGTGTACCATGGGCCACAGCTGAGAACCGGACTTGGCATAGGCCTGTTTCATATAAGATGCAGTGGTATGTCGGGTTACAGACGCTTCAGGTTACAGACTCCACTTACCCAGTAATAGTGCCTCAGGTTAAGAACTTTGCTTCAGGATGAGAACAGAAATTGCGCGGTGGCGGCGCGGTGGTACCTCAGGTTAAGAACAGTTTCAGGTTAGGAACGGACCTCCAGAATGAATTAAGTTCCTAACCCAAGGTACCACTGTCTATCCCATGTACAGATAATCTTCATATTTCAGAAGAGGAGAATTTTGGAAGCATCCCTAAAGTGGAGAAGCTGTTCAAAAGAAAGAGCTCTTCACTGAGGAACAATTGTCTCTTAATCATAAATGAAGAAGTGTCAGAAAAAAATATTGTGACTCAGCAATCCAAAACCTCAAGGTCAGTTTCAGCACCTTATATTGCTGGACAGCAGCCAGGGCCCCAACATTCTGGTGGAGTCTACAACTGAAACTTGCCCGGGGCTCCTGCTTAAAAGCTTCTGGCCCAGCACTTACGGAAGAGTATTGATCCATGGCAGTTTGGAAATTAACATAATGGCTAGACTCAGCAGCTCAGTGTGCTGTTACTGCTGCTGCTTAGTACTGCCTGCCAGAAACTGCTTAGATATTATTGTAAACCACTTTGAGGTGTTTTCTTTTCTTTTGTTTTTACAGTCAAGCAGCATATAATTTTTATGAAATAAAATTAATTAAAAGGTAAGACCACTAGGGCCCCATGAGGGAGGAAGAGGCCCACCAGACAGATCTATCTTTACTTATGGTCCTTCAAACATGGAACCAGCCCTGAAAACCCTTCTCCAGCCAAACAATGGAAAAGTGAAATTGGCCACACTCCAGCACGGGTCATATTGTTGGGAATCAGTGCTCTTCTATAAATTGATAGTGAGTTAAAACTGGGGCAGAAGGTGAGGTAGAAGTTGCCACCCTTTGTAACTTTTTTTAAAAAATGGAGACCCATCTTCTACTCTAAGAACCAATGGATAAGAATATATATAACTATTAGTATCAAGCTGGACCATAAAGAAGGCTGATTGCCAAAGAATTGATGCTTTTGAATTATGGTGCTGGAGGAAACTCTTGAGAGTCCCATGGACTGCAAGAAGATCAGACCTATCCATTCTGAAGGAAATCAGCCCTGAGTGCTCACTGGAAGGATAGATCGCACTATTTTAGTGTTGTTAGCCGCCCTGAGCCCTGATCGCACTATTTTAGTGTTGTTAGCCACCCTGAGCCCGGCTTCGGCTGGGGAGGGCGGGATATAAATAAAATTTATTATTATTATTATCGTGAAGCTGAGGCTCCAATACTTTGGCCACCTCATGAGAAGAGAAGACTCCCTGGAAAAGACCTGATGTTGGGAAAGATTGAGGGCACAAGGAGAAGGGGACGACAGAGGACGAGATGGTTGGATAGTGTTCTCGAAGCTACCAACATGAGTTTGACCAAACTGAGGGAGACAGCGGAAGACAGGAGTGCCTGGTGTGCTCTGGTCCATGGGGTCACGAAGAGTCGGACACGACTAAATGACTAAACAACAACAGCAACAATCCGATCATATGAAAACTTTGTTCAATGCGGATCTTCCCTTCTGACCAAGGAGGTGGGATCATCAGCACCAAAATTTCCAATGAATTCAATGACATACTACCTTCATTATCCAATTTCTAGACAGCAGATTTTTTTAAATGGCAGTAAGCTTAGATGACAATGAATGTGTGGTTTATGTGCATGTGTTGGAGGTTAGGAAATACACATTTCAGGATAAGTACATTGAGATAAAATATATATAGAAAAATTTGAGTGGTATATAAATGATCTTAAATAAACATATTTAGAGCTGA